TTCCCTACTGACTGAGCTCCTGATTTAGTAGTTAAAGTAGCAATTTCATCCCACGGATGAGTCTGCAAACTAAATGCCTTTTTTTTCTCAGCTTGCAAAGGTGAAACCTGTGTGATGATTACAACCAGCCTACTCACTGCATTGTGAAACCTAGAAATGTAAGTTAGCAGTAGCAGACTAGTATCACCCTCCATGCCAGCTCCTCAGGACTTCAGAATAGGACTAAGCCCTATGGCATATACGTATCTGGAAGTTTTCCCATGAGGAGTTACAGCAATTGTTGTAACTGAGAAGACCTTATTAGCTCATGGAACCAGTTCTTTTGGACATGACGGCAATAACAGGCTGTGGGTCAGTAACAGTTGGTCCAGTAACACCTCACTCCTGGGCTTGTCCTGAAGAGGTTAGAAGTGAAAGGCCAAAGGAGAGAAGAATTCGCAGCCTTGTGGAAAGTGTGAAAGTCTCAGCTTCCTCCAACATGTGAGTCCCTATGCAATGTGCCATATGGTATGACTGGGATAGACTATGGCACTGAGCTACAACTGGGGCACGTGTCATCTGGAGGAACTGCTGTAGCCCGGGGCACCCTGGCTAACATACCTGAAGCTGCAGCACAGCCTCATCCATCCTCAAGGAGGTAGATGGCAGAGTGGGCCTATCATGGGTGTCTCCTATACGGGGGACAGAGCACAAGAGGCCGAGGTGGAGAGCCAGGAACCAGGCTGAGCTGAGGCAGAGTGCCAGCTGTAGAAGTCATAGGGTTTGTGAGGTCTGAAGAGTGAATCAGTAGTCAAGTCAGTAAAGTTGGTGTCAGTGATGGAGGACTGTGGGGAGGAGGAACAACACAAGGGTAGATGGGCAAAGGGAGGAGTTAGGAACCTGTGGGCCAAGGTAATGAAATTGCTTTTCATGGAGAGCCAGAGTGAACGAACAGAAAAAGAGGTAGGAGAAAAGTGAGAAAAGATCTCGGAGGGAGCAAAAGATGGTCTGTGAATCAGGTAAGGACAACCAAAAGTGGACTAGAGATGCATGCTAGCTAGCTGTGAGAACTTGCTGCTCCTTAGCTGGCTTGGCAAAATCAGGGGGATTGCATAAATTCTGCAGGACCACAGGATTTGAGGCACAATTCTGCTTCCACGCCTCTTGATGCTACCCTTAACTGCAGAGAGGTGACATGTACTTACACCAGCTTCCACTGACACCAACAGAAAGCAAGAAGACTTTGACTCGTATTTTACAAACATCTCTTTCAGATGCTCTGAAAGAACTGCCAGGGAATGAAGAGTGGGGAAACCTATCGTTGTCCTTTGCTACCTTCAATGGTCCCATCCTGTCTGGAAATGCCCTTTCCTGCACCTGGGTCAGAGTGTGGTGTTAAGCTTTTCATAACCAATAACCTGCTAACGCTCGGTTAGACCAACACAAACAGTCAGCCAACACTATGGCAGAGCACTGGTCAACAGGTATGGAAAACAAATACAACCGTGTCACCTAGTTAGTAAGCAACCTGTTCATCACCTCTGGGCTACGGGACAGCCCTAATGGCTACAGACAGCTCCTGCTGGCCCGCAGGGATCAGCTGGCCAGATCCCCGCGTTGAGCAAATGCCATTAAGGTAAGAATTTGTCACGTTGTGTTTGTCATGTTAACAGCACAGCCACTGCTGTGTGTCCTTTTGTTTTGCTTTAACTCGGCAACTGAGGGAAAATCTTACTCTTCCCTGTGAGTTTGCCAGGACTTAGATGAGCCATATATGCCACCCTGCCTTTCACAGCATTCGGTGTTTTCAGGGAGATGCTGAGCACCTTCAGGTCCTACTTTACAAAACGGGTGCTGTGGCAATCCGGGGGAACAGCAAGGAGAAGGAGAAACAAGTCTATTGACTTTATGCGGAAGAGATGCCATTATGTCTTGAAGTGGTGGGACTGCAAGAGTGGAACAAAAAGGAAAAGGTAATTACTGACAACACCACATCAAAGTCAATGTGTGGAATAAACCTTATGAAAGGATTACCCACTCAACGGCTTTTCTTTTTTTTTTCTGTAAAGGAGAGGTGCTTAGATGCACTCTAGCTCTGTCTAGACAGATTGACTGAATTACTCACAAGAAAATTACTCCTTTTATAAGGGTCTCAGTAACGAACCTAGAAATGTCAACGGAGTGAGTCGTTTCAAACAGTGTTTGTCACTCAAGGCCAGTAGTTTTGCCACTTCTCGGCAACTGAGGGAAAATCTTACTCTTCCCTGTGAGTTTGCCAGGACTTAGATGAGCCATATATGCCACCCTGCCTTTCACAGCATTCGGTGTTTTCAGGGAGATGCTGAGCACCTTCAGGTCCTACTTTACAAAACGGGTGCTGTGGCAATCCGGGGGAACAGCAAGGAGAAGGAGAAACAAGTCTATTGACTTTATGCGGAAGAGATGCCATTATGTCTTGAAGTGGTGGGACTGCAAGAGTGGAACAAAAAGGAAAAGGTAATTACTGACAACACCACATCAAAGTCAATGTGTGGAATAAACCTTATGAAAGGATTACCCACTCAACGGCTTTTCTTTTTTTTTCTGTAAAGGAGAGGTGCTTAGATGCACTCTAGCTCTGTCTAGACAGATTGACTGAATTACTCACAAGAAAATTACTCCTTTTATAAGGGTCTCAGTAACGAACCTAGAAATGTCAACGGAGTGAGTCGTTTCAAACAGTGTTTGTCACTCAAGGCCAGTAGTTTTGCCACTTCACTTCTTTCTTTTTTAGAGTAGCAAATATGGAAAATAATGTGGTCATTTTGACAGGCATGGGGTACTCAACCACACTGATTTTTGCAGTAGTTCTCCGTAACAGATATCAGAACTTTCCTCTAGCAAACATAAAATGGAAATTTTTAGGACTAAATCTAGTGGGGCATTGCTGATTCTTTGTAGCTGAGAACCTAACTAAAAACCTTTCTTTTTTTTTTTCCCCCAGCCAAGCATTGCAGCTAAGGAATAATAATGAATGCACTTAAAAGATCAAGCCTCCTTTTTACAAACTATCTGGTATTTTCAGGCATTTCCAGTTGCAGAGTCTCATTTTCTGCCATTAGGATAAAACCCACATCCCATGGAAATCAAATGGCAGCAGAAACACCGGCTGATGAATACATGGCCATATTTTACTCTCTGTCTGTTTTTCAGGAGTGCTGACCACTCGCATCTCTCAGTTGCCTAGTCTTGGGGGGTCACTCGACCTCTCTGGAAAACAGCTTTTAGGTGACTCCGCTCAGGCCTTCAGTAAAAGAAGTACTCCAGATTAGTGGAGTCATGTTTTACTTTAAAGGCCTGATTATGAGAGTTGGTAAAGGGCTAATAAAAATAATAAACACGTTTACAGACACTTCTGTAGATGGTGATAAGCAGGTCAAGAGATACTACTGAAAATTAAAGGAAATCTCTGCACCTGAAAGCTATGACACTTTGTAGGCAGTTACTCATTATTTGTAAGTCCCGTATTGACTGTTTCGTAGATGAAATGTTTCATAGATACAAACCAGGGACATGAAAAGAGGCCTTTGGGAGTGAAACGTCTCGCTGCATTAATGAAGGCAGCTCCACTACTTTTAAGGCACACCTGCTCTTTTATGCCCACAGAGAAGTTGGCCTTTGACCTTGGCATCTTTTCTTCTTTTTTTTCCTTTGTCCAATTTGTCAAAGTTTGGTTCTGTAGCAATGCGGAATGTGTCCAACAGCTGGATATTCTGGAAAGCTTGGTTTCCTTCCCAGTGTGCTGCACGCTGCCTTCGCCCCTGTTAAAAGCAGCGCTTGCTTATTGGTAACACCTGGACTGTTGACTGTAGATAAACAGATAGACTTGTGTGCTCTGTCTTTGAGGTTTAAAACCAGACAAGATTGCAAATAACAGGCTCAGAGCACACAAGAGTCCACCGCGCTCAGGATTTACATGTGTGCTAATCGCAAAGTACAAGAAAGAAACCTTTGATCGCAACACCTCCTAGACTCATTGCTTTTAGCCTTGGGAATAACAAGCACAGCATCTTCCCCGCTAACAAACAAGAGGGGAAATAACACCGTGCTCTACCCTGTTGTTGTTCTTCCTTGATTCAGTGTGAATTAACAGGCAATGAAGACAACAGGTTTGATTACTCTTTGCGACGATCTGGATTTCCTCCTGAGGATAAACAGGGGTATTCCCATCATTGCCATTTTCAGGACCTGGGTGAAAGAACCCTCCAAATAACTTGGTCACTCCTCTTTTTGCTCTCTGTGAATAAGCATGCAGCTATTTCATTTAATCATCTCCTGGTTCCTCCTTTGCCCTCCACCCCACAGAGCACCAGGTCCCAAGAGCTCTGCTCTCATCCGGAAGGTGGTTAAATCCTCATTCAAACCCTAAGCGATACATGGGTCCTCACTCACAATTGCCCAGTGCTGTTCATATACACTAATTTCCCCCTCCACGAGGCAGTAACGAGTCCATGGAGTCACATGAGTATGAACAGGGAAGACTGGGGAGATCTGCACTGCTTCTGGACACATAGTTGAGGTTCTTCTTACCAGTCTGTTTTATCTTTAGGCCAGCCTTGTCCTCCCAGTCCACAGTAGCATCCGTAGCCAATATACGCCAAGGGAGACCGTCCCGTGCCACACGATATAGCTCCTGCCAATTCGATGATTCCTCGGGTGTGCAGCGAATGGGATTTTCCCAGAACATCCTTCCAAACTGCAAAGACAGGACATGGCTTCACACAGGGATTAAACACACCTGACGCTGATTTTCTTAAGGTCCTTAAAGGGGGATTTTTTTGGTCTTGACTGGTTGGTAGGGTGCAGCCTTGACAATCTAATTAGCCTTCACATTCACCCTGCAAAGGGGGCTCTGCAGGGGCCTTACCTGAGGGCTGGGCTATCCAGGAGGTGGATGCTCAGGGAGCTCAATTCAAGGAAAACTTACTAGCTCTGGTATGCTAGCATGTGATCGCAGCTATATTGCATCTGGGAGCAGGGTGCCCAGTTTTGCACATCACAGAGCCCAAGCTGTTAAGCTTTGCAGGGCCTGTGCCAGCACCCTGCAGAGCCAGCTGCACTTCACTGCACCCCAGAGCTCCCAAACCTGGGAAAGTTTACTAGCTACACTGTGGTCCCAAGTGGGACAGGGAGCAGCAGAAAACAAGCACACAGCCAGACCTAACCTGGGCTCTACGGAAAAAATGAGGTTTCTATGTTGCCCAAGATGTCTTATATTATCTGAGTTTCCCCTCCTATTTAGGATATTTTAACCCATTCTCCAGATGGCAAAGAGCTGACGGTACTATTAATTTGCAAACAGGGATAGCTACAAGTCCCCGAGCCCATAAGGTATACCTTGTCAAGGATAGAGTGCCTACCTTACCCAAGATGTATGCATATGGGCTTTCTTTTGAGCATTTCAAAGTGCTGGCAACACTTACATCCGCTTCCGTTATTACGTTCCATTTAAGTTGTAACATCAGGTTGGCTGCATTAATTTGGAAAAGAAGTAAAAGGAGCTCTGTGTCAGCTGAAGTGTGCGGATGGCCACCCAAACCGGTCTGGAGTTTTTTGAGTGTTGTGATTTCACATGTTAATTTGCAACTTTTTTAGAAACCACAGACTCTGCCTTGCAGTAACTGTTATGGAAACCAAGAGTACCCTGCCCCTAATACTCAAACCACTGTGATGCTCAGCTGCAAACATTGATGCTTATCACGTTAACGATAGCAACAAATAGGAGCATTTATTGCCTGGGTTTACTGTGAAGGACCAAGCGCGCTTTGCACAGCTCTATCGTGCATGGCAAAGCTGCTCACCAGTAGCATCAAACCCCCCAGACCAACCGCCTAACCCATCCGCTCGTCCCAGCCGGGCACAGCCGCTGCGAAAAGAAAAGCCTGCCGAAACGGGGGGACTTTGTGGGGGGCTTGGATGGAGAGAGAGGTGACGCCTGGGACCTGGGAACCCACCACCGAAGTTGCTTTGCCACCTGCCCCTGGCTATTGCAGGATGCTTGACTTCTTCAAAGTGCTGTGCAAACATGGACTAATTAATCCCCTAAACCACCCGAGGACTCAATACTATTATTAAAACAGTTGCTTTCCTTTTAAAACCTAGCCTCTAATCTCCTTCCTTGGGCCTCTCCCCACACCTCCTGGGTTGGCTCGCCCTCCCAGCCTGATCCAAACCCCTGGCAAGGACGAGGGTCTCTCCCCATGAAGGACAAGGCAGGGCTTTGCTCCCTCTCTGCAGCCCAAGCCTCCGGCAGGAACAAGCGCTTCCCTCCACCATTTTCACCCTGGTGATTGGCGCCTCAGGCAGTCCCGGCAGGCGCGGGGTTTCGCACAGCCTCCTTATGCTTCCCGGGGCATTCCTTGGGGATTAAATGCACGTTCCTGAAAAAGTAACCGCGCTGCTCACCTAAACACTGCTTGAGTGTTCAGGTTTCATGCTAAAAACACATTAGGCGGGTGTTATTCAAAACTAAAGAGATGACCTAGTTCCCTTGTCTAAACAGCAGGGGCTCTGGACTTAGGAGCAGGCTCAGCTCTCAGGCACCCGAGGGGAAATCACAAGCAGTGAGCTGCTCTGGATTTTGGGTTAAAAATCATGCTTTTTCAACCTGTTGCAGTTTGCAGACCCTGAAAATGTTCCGATGGAGACTAAAACTTCTTTGTAGGCATTCAGGCCTCCTGACGAGCAGCCTGCATTTTTTTCTTTCGCTGACCTCTTAAGCCAGGACTGCTGGACTTGGTCTGTTGGCCGCTGGCTGAAAACAGCCGAGGTTGGTGTAAGGTAACTGCACCTCACGCAGAAGAAGAAAGGCCATTCTTCTTTTGGGGATATCTCTGAAGATCAAGGAACTGTAATTACAGTGCAGAGCTGCTCATGAAAGCGGAGAGAAAGCCCCAAAGGGAATTGAGTCCAAAAGACGGTGCTTAGGGCTGCATGCTCTGCAAGAGCTTGAAATAACGTGGGCATCCAGGCGGCTTCTGATGTTCCTGTTTCGTTCTTTGAAAGCTGGCTGGGTTTTGAGCTGACGGTGTGTTGCTGCAGCTGAGAGGTCAGCCCCAGCAAGTACGTTTTGATATCCAGGTGCATGACTAATAACTTGACCAAGAACTGAAGTTGCTTTTTCTGTGCTGGGCAGCCAAGCCAACACAGCTGGGAAAGCCTTGAAAAAGTCCAAATCTCCACAGCAGCCTGCATTTAGCCACATCTCCCATTAGGAGCATGTCCAATCATTAGCTATACTACTAACGGGGCGCCTTAGCGGAGAACATACCTGTAGGGAGGTGAGCAGAAGTGGATCTGACAACTTACACTTTCTATTTCCTGCTTAAATGGGCAGCCTTTGCTGTAGATTAAGGCAAAGTTTTGGGGTTTATTTTCAAACTGTACTGCAGGTATAACCTCAGACCTGCTGGTTTATGGTTGTGTTGCCTCTGTGTGTAGGGGCTTTATGTTAGCAGACATTTATGGCTTTTTTTAACAGGCTTTTTAAAAATTATTTTAAATTCAGATGAATTGAAAACTGCTTACTCCACGGTCACTGGTATAAAAAGAGGGTATTTCTATGAAGAAACACAGACGCCAACAACTTTGTAGCAGAAAACTATCCAAAAAGAAAGTGACCCATGTTTATACAGCCCCAGCTATGTAAACTGCCAGGGAAGTAAAGCGGGCAGGCGGCTCACGTACACAGCCCTACGCTATAAAGTTGAAAAGAGTTGAGCAGCGCTTTTTTTCCTCACTTGGCCAAACCACACCGAGGTGCCTGCCGCGAAGCAGGCAAAGCTGACAGCAAGGGGAGAGGCTGTTCTGGAACAGGGGGAGGCATGGGGAAGGAGAAGGACCGAGGGGTGGTACTCACCTGCCTGAAGCAGCATCAGCATCAGCAGCAGGCGGGAGCCCATGGGCAGATCGCTTCCGCGCTCTTGTACGCCGGGGTTCAGCCGCCGGGACGCCCAGCAGCACTTCGCCGCGCTGCCAGGTGAGCCGAGGCGTGGGGTATGCTTAACAATCCTCCCGGGCCACTGCTCCAGGGTTTATATATACATGGCTCTGCGCCCGTCTAAAGTGAAACACCCTCTTCTGCTACGTCCCTGAGCCCCAGCCCGGGTCCAGTCCGTCCCCGCAGCAGGCTCCTTGCTGCGCGGGGAGAAGGCGAGGGCTGGCTCTGTTTGCCTAGCATCACCTTTGGGAGGGAGGGGCTGCTGGAAGGGCATTAGGCTGGCCGTCACCGGGACAGCCCCAGACACCCAGGCACTAAGCTGGGCTCCTTCTTTAAGCTGTTTGCTTACAGACCCTGGTTAACCTCTGAGTAACAGCAGAGAAGGGAAGCCTGCAACCGGGCTTTCTGTGGCTTGGGCTCACTGCTGTGGCATCCCCCTGGCAAGGATTTTCTCTTTTTATAGATGACTCTTTCCAGGGTAATTTTTTTTTTTTACATTATTTTATTTTAAGACCGATTATTTTTCATGTTTAAAAAGGAAGAGACAAAACTATAAAAATCCAACAGAAAGAATACTGTTAAGTGCAAGTATCTAATTATAAACTGACAGAGCTAATTCTGCACCACTCCCGAGGGAAAAATACCCTCTTGGCCTGTTGCTGCACCTGACCGAGACCAATTGATTTCCTGAAGACTCGTCAGTATGTGGGTCCCAGCCACAGCAACAGACCAGCAGTTGGGGACAGTCCCCCGGGGCCAGCCGTGCTCTGGTCAGACCAGGCAGCTGGATCGGCAAGGAGGCCTCCCCGTCACACAGCCTCTGCTTGTGCGGGGCAGCAGGCAACGAGAGCGGGAGGGATGGCCGCAGTTATTTTGCCTTTGGGGTTGAAACGGCTTCACCCAGCCCTCCAGGGCTTTAAAACTCCTGCCTTGCTCAGTACAGCAGCCATCCGCCTTGTTGGGGTCTAAGCATCTGCCCCTTCCCTGGTGTGGGCATGATGGGCAGGGCTGGCTGCTCTGCCGGGAGAGGGAGAGGAGGGGAAGAAGGCTGCTTGCCCCTTCCCCTGCACAGCCCGGGCCCTTCTCAGCAGCACACCTTGCCCAAGCTCCCCATGGTAAAGCTGTGCCTCCCTTTTTAATGGCATGGTTTTAAATATTTGCTTGCTAAATATTGGTACTCCAATCAAAGGTCAGCAGCAAGTCATTTATAGGGCTGCCTTCTGCTGAGACCAGCCCCGCCGCAGCAGCTGGCACTCTTTGCCTGAGCAAGTTTTCAAGATACAGTATATACCGGGTGCCTTTGATTCAGGGCAAACGAAATGGCAGAATTGGGTAAATCTCATGACAACTGTGAGCCGGAAATCCCCTGCCCGTCGCCGCCCCTGTGATGGGCTGTGTGCTGGCAGCAGGCGAGGGAGGACGTCGAGGTGAGCTGCTCTGTGCCCTGGCTCCTCCGCAACATTGGAGGGGCCCAGGAGGAGCTGTGCAGCTTACATCTCCTCCCTCAGAAACTCCCTTCAGTAATTATATATTTACTCAAGCAATAATGCCAAAACCTATGTATGTGAGCTGTTGCTGGCTAATATTTAACCTTAAGAATGTAAGTTTGCGGAAGGAGGATGCTGGAAGGCGGGTGTGCTGTATTCGAGGGCTCTGTGGATGCAGGCCCTCAAAATGGGAAGTGCAAAAAGAAGTTAGGCTTTAAAGCACCACGTGGGGCCTGGCTGAACAAGACACCCTGTTAGAGTAAGCTCCATCCCTAACAGATACCTGGCGGGACCCGTTCTTAAGTGGGGACCAAGGGGGAGGTGTGAGGAGCTTTACGGGATTCCCAGGGTCCCCAAGCCCAGGGAAATGCCTTTGAGTGCCCAAAGTGTCTACTCTATGACTTGGGTTTATCAGAGCCATTTTGGTTTGACAACCTGCATCTAATCTTATTCTTTCAAAGCCTTCCTGAATTACAAACCTGATCAAAAAAAGCATTATAAATTTTCAGACCACAGTTTAATTCTATTCTTCCCTTTCTCACAGCCCCCTGTCCCCCAAATAATAGATGAGGTTTCTGTCCCCAGTTCAGCAATAAATACAAAATAAACACAGACCCCTTTGATAGCCAAATGCATCTGCAATGTTGGAAGAAGACTTCTGCAGGATATTAGGGAGGGATGCCCAAATCCAACCTTAAAATGGAAAGCAGAATTAATGTATTGTTTCCTTACGACTGTTTCACACTGCTGACGGGTCGAGTTTGTTATTTATCTGTGCAACTACTGATTACTGTTGCCTAAGTTAATCAGCATATTTATTAAATAGTATTAAGTGCTAATCGTGGTCTTACTATGTTATGGCAAGAGCACTGGTATCATGAGGGCATTTTTATTACTGTTTAGGGAAACAAAACGAATTCCCTGATCCCGCCCCTTCACATGCGTTTTGCCTGTGACCTGCTTGAGCCCCGCTTTTCACTTGTAGCAAGAGACAGCACACGAGGGTGTTGGATATCGTCTCAGCAAACTCAGCTATACAGACTACTGGCTGTCCGAAACTGCACAGGGAATAAACTTACTTTGAGCCTCAGGTCACTCGTGAGGGGCAATCAGCCCATACTGCTGGAGGGCTATTTCTTCAGATGAACTAGCTCTGTTGAGAACAGAGTTCCCTTGGTTTGCACCACCAAAGCAGCTGGCCCTCAGGGATGATACTACCTCATGCTCTTGGGCTCCTTATTGTTGAAAGACACTATTAGGGAAAAGTTTTTAGCTGAAGGAGAGAAGAATTTATAAGGACTCCACATTTTTTAATGACGTTTACCTGATGAGGGTAACAACATCTGAGATGTCAGATGTTCTTGTAGAAGACGGGCTGTCCTTCATCCCATAGAGGCTGTTCTTTCTCAAATGAAATACCCAGTCACCTCTGTGGATGTCACCACCAACCGCAAGAAGAGGTCTCTGGTCAGCACCAGCAGATTCAACGATGCGTTTGCTGCCCAGGCCACGGGCTTTTCCCATGAGGGGCAGAGGAATCTTTCTTGCAATACTATAGGCTTCAGAGGTTCCCTAAAGGAACTGCCTCCACAAAGACTGGTTTATAGGAGTATGACTAAAAAGACTCAAGGATACAGAATGACAGCTTGGGTAGTGGGAGTTAGAAGAGAAAATCAGTTCTCAAGGGAAACAAACTCCACATTACCTGTTCAGAGAAAAAAAAAACACATATCTAAGACTTCCACATGATTTGTCATGACATAACCAGTTACAGAAGCAATAAAGTTAATATGACAACATATTAAGTAAACGGTCTTATTTAATATAGTCTTGCATGGAAGGTCTGTCCATGCTTTAGTGATGATACAGCCTAGCCAAACTTGGATGAGGAAAGACAACATTATTATTTCATTTTATAACTCAGCCCCAAAAGGAAAGTTTTAAAAGTGGCTGCTGGCTTGAGGATGTCCAGTATGTATCTCCTTGAGCTTCAGTGCTGCTGTGCGCCAGGTCTCATCTTGATGGTGGCACTTCTGAATAGTGAAGCTGGATGGCTCCAGCTCTCAAAGTCAATGCCTGCTTTTGTCTGTAGTCAGTCTCTCTCACACACACACACACACACACACACACACACACACCACGTCAGGCGACAACAAAGAAAGGCCACATCTCTCAGGCTTTTGCTGTGGCATTTTTCTCCCAGCACGGTCTTAGAAGGTGCTGTCTCCTGAGCTGACTGTGTGGGCCTTCCCCTCAAAAGTCCTTTCCACATGAAATGTTCCCCTCCTGCACGCTTGCTCGCACTCCTCCCACGAAGGAGTGGACCTCATGGTCTACACATATAATGCTTCTGGAAGGAAGGCAGGCAGAGCTGACATGAGTCCTGTGTTTGGGATAAAGGAAACGATGGATTGTTGAAGGAGGGGGGTGATGTGAGATGCTAAGGGAGCAGTAGCTTCTTCCTTAATTAGCATTGCCGGTTGTGGGGTAAACATTGTGGGCCACATGCTAGGGAAGAGCTACACCACCCTGGCAGGTTCCTTTCCCTCTTCATGGCTGCCTCCGGTCCTCGTGAGGATCTGTTACCCCTCAAGCTCTGTTCATAACACATGAAACCCAGAGCTGCATCCCTTCACATATCCCTTCCCCAAGGCATGAGGAGAGGAGACACAACCCATGGAATGGAGATGGGGTGCAGGTGTCCCCTCGTTGTCCTCCTGCTCTCTCATTAGGTGGAGGGAGGTTGTGAGGGAGTGCAGTCACTGCGTGGGGGGTCTGCCCTGGCTGCCTCGTTCTCTCGTCACTGGAAATGTCAAGACTTTTCTGACTTTAATGGTCTTCTCATCCGAAGTGTTAGTGACACTATCTTTAATGCTCAGGCCTTCAGAAGTATCCATTTCCTGGTTTGGTCTGCCTGTAACTCCCTTTTTGCTGCAGAGCAAGCAGTCGTTCTGCTGCCTGCAAGACAGGCTCACTTGGGAACGGAGAGGCTCTTGTGTCCTCCAGAAAACATCGGGCTTCGGTGGACACCACATAACCCAGTGCATCTGTCAGGGCAATGGGGCCATGACCACAAAAAGGTTTTCAAGACTGCAATGTCCCTTGGCCACAGGTAGCCAGGACAACAGAAACGCAGCATGCTTTTGCAATGTGGAGCTTGCTGCCATCACCACCTGGGAGCATTGCCGTCGGTACAAACCAGGGAGAAGAGCATCTCTTTGGAGCCATGTTGAGCGCTGCCTGTAGCAATGCAAAGGGATGGGTGAAAACAGGCATACCTTATCAGCTGAGCACCCTTAGACATTTGGCTCTCGTTTTAGAGCCCTGGTGACATTTCCCACTTAAAAGAGAAGATATATTACGAGAATTGAAGTACACCTAAAACAGGAACAAGCTGAATAAAGACATCTTATTTAAATACTGACAAGACCTCAGGCTGCTTAGTTTATGAGATCCACCAAGAGGCTGGGCTGCTTCGTCTGATAGAAGGCTGAGGGAAC